CGACAAGTACAAGGGCAAGCCATTAGAGAGAGCAGGAGCAAGTGAAAAGAAAAGTTTCCCCGCGGAAAAATTGAAGGTAACAAGAAAAAGAAGCCGTTCCACCGTCCAGAAAAGAGAGTTCACGAACACCCCCAGAATGAAGAAGGGAGAAGAGAAGGACGACGTATGCAAAGAAGGCCAGGAGAAATGACGGCAACTATAACCCGGCTCTAAAACGGAAGATCTACTCATCCGACAGGAACTCTCCGCAGCAAATGTCGCCGAACTGCGGAAGGGCCATCAGCGGCGGAGGAAAAAGTTACAAGGAAAAATTTGAACGGCCAGCAACGAGGTCCAAGCAGGAACACGAAAGAAGTTTCCCGGTTCCGCCAAGACCAGCTGCCATCAAACGGCCAAGACCACAAGGCAGAGGCGAAAAAGAAGGTATTCAAGGGTGACCGAACTGGAGTGAAAAAGAAAGCTTCCTAGAGGAAAGCACTGAAGGGCGAGCCCGTACAAGAAGAGGAGGAGGATAAATCAAACGAGAATCTGCGCTACCTTTCCAGGACTGGGCCCAGAAAAGGAATGTCCGAATATCACAAAGATAAGTAAAATTTTATGTTACTTTGCAAACTTAAGTTAATCTTTCATTCTTACTGCAAGTGGCAGATTTCAAGAAGTTTTACCTCATGCGAGGTCTACCTTTATCGCCAAAAAGGCGAGAAATGAGTTGTTACCGATTTTTGGTATTATGTTTTTCAATTACTCGCGCGTAAAACTAAAGTTGATGTATAATAGCGTTGTGTAAAGACTTAAATATTGTAAAAAGTTATTGTATAAATTTTATTTAAAACATTCTGGCAAGAAAGAAGTTTTAGTCTGAAAGACTTTTTGAAATGTAGTATTTCAATGTAGAAAGAATTGGCACTTGCTTTGAAAAGAATAGAAGTTAACAATGTACTACTACTAATGTATGTTTTCAAATGTGTAAAATTAACGGCATGTTAATATGTTCTTATATACAATGTGAACTGTTATTTTAAATGTTAAGAAATACCGTGATATGGTAAAAGTGAAAGTAATGTTAAAAATTTTTTTTTATTCGTGTGACTGTAAAAAGACTAAATCATGGTGAATATGTGTTAAAGGTTGAATGATGTAGTTAGGCTCTCTGACGCTACACTTCAGAGTTAGCCACTTTCAGAATAGTACCTCAGGATTTAGAGTTGAAATTAGGGTGTGTTACGAGGTCTTCGTATGTTGAATTTTAACACGTTAGTGTTTTGATTGTAGGAGGAAGTGTTGAACACGTAGACATAAACACATTCGTGTTTGGTGTTCTTTTACAACACATGTCAGAGAGCACGGGGAGAGATAATTAAAATAGTCATGAATGAAATAAGAATGTTAAGAGAAATATAAATATGCATGTTACTTGCCATTTCATTGTGTAACATTTCATTAAACTAGTTTTCCTTCCAGATCTCTGGAAGGAACCAGAATTTGAATAAAAGCTCCTGTTTAGATGCAGTACAGATGAAAAAAATTGTTGTATATCCTGGGAGCTGCTATTGTAAAAACAAATTTCTTTTTTTTAAAAATTTCTAGTTTCTAGCGAGAAATGTTTGTAAAAGATTGGCCTCGCGTTAGATTCTAGAGCTAAAAGTTTTCAACAAGGTCGTTTTAGACCTCAGTTTCAAACTAATTAACTCTGGCGGGAAGTATGTAAGGATCTTAAGTTTTACTAACGTTTATTTTATTTTAAATCTTTACTATCACTTCTTATTTTCTACTTCCGGCCAGAATTATAAGCGTTAACTTATTTATGCAAAGTTTGTCTGGCGAACGCCAAGTATTTAAGTTGTGGCTTTTTGCCAAGCGAGAGAGAGGAAGCAGTTAGTCGAAGCAGGCCGCTTACCTTAGAAGTTTTACTCGCAGTTGCTGGTTGCCTTCCAGGCCAGAGGTTTTAATCCTCTTGATAATTTTAAACGTATTGTAGTGTTCACAGTTCTCTGTACTACATACGGCTTCCTGTTAATATAAGGCCAATCTTCCACGTTTATTATTCCAAAGTTAAATTAGAGTTTAGTTTTATTTTTATATTTTACGTTTAGACCCACAAGTAGTGGGTCTTTGTATTCCGAAGTACGGAAGTTATTGTAAAGAGAGAAAAATAAAGGGTTTTGTATACCCTTCTTGTGTATCCTGTCTACTTCCCACATTAGTGAACATAGCTTTAGTAAGCTCTCTGTTCCGAGTCAGGTCCTTGGTTTCCGAGGAAAAGACCGAAAAATAATGGTACATCAGAAGAAAATCTGTCTTGAAAATTTTTGGCCACCCGCCCTAAGACACTCGTTTGCCTGGGGGATTTCCTGAATTGTATATGGCATTAAGTGCAAAGAAAGCAATGGTTAACCCCTTCGCGCCGACTGTCACGTCTACGTGCCAGCAACGAACACACTCACTTCCCGGCCGACACGCAGGCGTGCCAGAGCATTTTCCCGTTCAGCCCCGACTATAACGTATTTGTGTTCCAGTGTCCTGGAACGTTTTAAAATCTATAATTTCTGCCACAAGATGGCACTGTATGTCCATATGGTTTCAGATACATGTACATTAGACCTTCTACTCGAAATGAGAGAAGCATGACTCACATACACGTGTTTTTCATTATATAAACAAATGGGGAAATAAATGTTTCCGAATGGCGTGATTTATGACGTCTCTTTAAATTCGCACATCGTAGTTGTTTATTGTAAGTAGAGAAATTTTATTTTCGCTAAAGCGTTGGGTATTTCGGTTTGCAGTTCAGTTTCTAGAAAATAATTAGATCTTGTTAGACGTGAATTCTTTCTGTTTTTACCGTTGCAATGTCGAAAGCGTCGAAAAATGTTAACAGAGCATGAAATAGCAAAAATGATGCAAAAATATGCAAATATTTCAGATATTGATTCTGAAACAGATTTGATAGTAGTGATAGTAATACTATGATATATTCTGATCATAAAGAATCTGGCGAATCTAATGATGATGAGGACATTTCGGACATCTGTATGCCGAGTACGTCGGCATACAGATGTTCGAAATGTCCTCATCATCATTAATCCTTAATTAATTAATGTCCTCACATCAATGTCGTTATTACGAGTTGCAAGGAATGTAACGTAGGACGTGTGTAATCCCAGTTTTCAAATTTTTCATACGAAAAGAGAATTTTAAGTAATATATTTAGTTTTCAGATGTATAATGTTAAAAGTCATAAAATGGTGAGTAATGAAAATAAAAAAAAATGTGTAAAATATGCATTTAAACAAGAAATAAGGTAATTAAAGTATATATAAAAATATCTATAAAGCATAAGCCGTTTAAATACTCTATAGAGCATATTAAACAATAAATCGGAAATTTCATTGATTTAGGCTTAATAGCAAAAAAGCCCCCGCCCCTGGACAGACGCTCGCGTAAGACACTGCCGGCCTCCGCGATAAGCGTGCGTTTGCGCTACCCGGCGCGAAGGGGTTTTAATAAAAGAGCTAAAAAAAACAAAAATAAATGGTTTAGCAGGAGTCAGTGCAACAGCAGACTGGTAGACCGCGAGCTCAGAGGGAGAGTAAAAAAAAAACCTTTGCAAACACTTTTGGGCGACCGTTCAAATCCGAACGCTTTCAGATTTTCTATTTTTTTTAATTTATACATTTTAGATCAAATTTTCATCTACAATTTTTTCATGCGTTCTACTTTGTTAGGCGTTTCTATTTAACCAGAAGTTCTGTTTAGAACGCTGTAAATACAAACTTTCTGTTACTGTTTTGTCGGCCATATTCTGCTAACTATATAGTATTCATTAATGCACACTGGTAGATGGTAGGGACCTCCCAAGTGTGAAAATAATCCACTGCTTGCTATTCTGTAGAAGGTACATCTGAAATCTGAATCTGAAATCGTTTTTGTTTAAAATGCAAGTTAAATATACAGAGAAGTAATAGTTAATTTATATCCTTGTTCATAAAAATGAAACATACCTTATCGAGAATCAGTCGGATTACATCAAATGAAAGTGTAGATGTGATCAGTGTGTTGTTACTTCAGGCTTATCCATAATTGGCCATAAATCGCTATGTTTGAGGCCGTTTTTGTAGTCGACGGGATAATATGGAAGAACTAAAATTTTATACTTAGAACAAATAAACTTCATATTATTAAAGTTTATTTGAGACAACTCTACCAAAAATGAGATAAGACTCTTTTTCTACAGCAAGAGACAATTCTAGAAACTCTGTGGGGGTGGTGTTCTTGTGGCAGACGAATAGTAATTCGGTTATTGTTTCGTGCAATCATCGTGTGTATGGTCACGTAGGTACTTGTGAGATTTTCCTCTTACCTATACGTTCAGACCTATACGTCTGACATTCAAAATTCTGAAAATTATAGGGCAAAATTGACCAATGAAGAGCATTTATGCGTGAATCTATATGAAGACTCTGAAGCAAATTTAACATTAAATTAGAATTGAAGCAATTGCTAGAGAAATTAAGGCAAGAAGAATCAGCATAATATTCATAAATTTGCAGGACTGGTTTCGGAGGTTTAGACACAACCCGCTTCTTCAGCTGCATAAGTACAAATAACGAAAGAGAAGCCTGTGCTCAAGCACAAGAAGCAAACTACTGGCGCCATCTACTGATGAAAAATTTAAGCAGCTATGAAATAATTTCTATTAGTGAAAAATGTTTGCTGAAAAATGAATGTTTAAAATGAGAAATAGAAAATGTTTTTAATTTTTTCATCAATAGGGAGCGCAGGTAGCTTAATACCTTCCTCTAATTTCTATCGCTTATTATCGTCTTCTAGTTTCCTCATTTGCACTTCTGCAGCTGAAGAAGCAAGTTCTATATTTAAAACCTTCGAAACGAGTCTAGGAAATTTATGGATATTTACGCTGATTCCTGTTAGCTCAAATCCACCAATAATCGTTATTTGGCATGTTACTTTAAATCAGATTAAAAATAAAACAATTTTACCTTTCGTTTCCAGGGGTTTTGATCATAGACGACTGTTTCAACCAAGAATCGAAAGGCTGGATTTTGCGAAGGTCCATAACGTACACAGAAACATTTGTTAATGAAAAGGCTCCTATAATCTAATAGAAACAATACAAATAAATATAGAATGCAGGAAGCTCAAATCTTTTAATTTTCAGAATGTACGCTTAAAAACAATGCTTGCGGTTGTAATGTTGCAGCCTTAAGCAATGACACAAATATTGAGCAATTTAAAAAAAAATTCCTTTCAATTATTTTAAAATTGAAAACTTAGGGATGCTTACTGCTACACAATCAGAAAGTATAAATAATGAGTTTGAGCTCTTACCAGCTGGTTTTCAGAGGATGTTATGTCAGACACTTTTCCCCATCCCATGACTAGCGTGTCCATTGTCCTCATGGGCTCCCAGCCATACACTTTCAAAATATCTTGAGCTCCACTGAATAAGCAGCATCCATTCGGGCTGAAATATATTTTTCTGAAAGAAAAGACAAAATATTTGTAAACCTAATCAGCTGACCAAAGAGTAAATTTTTTTATTACAATTTTAATTGATGCAGAGTTGACAAGTGCCACAACAAGAAGTTGACAAGTGCCACAAAAAGGCTTTGGTTTGTTTCATATTCTTATAGTCTACTTTTGTTGTGATACCAATGTGCTCATGTGAATTATGTTTACTGAGAACATTTCCCAGGGTATACTACAGGCGTAGATCAATACTGCTTCTATGGGAAGAGGGAAAGGACACATACAAACAACTTAAAATTAAGTGGAAGTGGAACCCTTACTATTCGATTTGTCAGTTAACCATTCAATATGACAGGACATCAGCGTAGACTACGGAGACATGCGACATGCGACGGAGGACGTGGGCACCACCCCTCTATCAATACGGTTAATCGGTATAGCGCCACGTGCACCTTTATCAGATAACCTACGTGTTCATTGTGAAAATATAATATATAAACATCATACAAATTGGTACTTGTGGCGTTAAAGCGATTAATGTTAGACACTGGATAATACATTTGCCATGTTACAAAGTGTATGCAAAAGCATGGATACGGTAGCATATATGCATAGCGTGTGTACTCATATGTTGGACTCATATGTACACTATGATCCTTTGAAGCATTATCATTAGATTACAGAAGACATGTACATACTGAATATTAGGTGCGCAATGTGTATGCGGAATAAGAATTATACAGTGAATTAAAAGTTAGACCCTGATTAGTACTGTGTAGACAGTGCTTTGGTGCAATAATTTAGAGTGGAATCTAGTTAGTTTGCGTAGGTGCGGTACAGGATAAAATGTGAGATGATAGTTACATTATCATATATACAGAACAAATTATTACATATATACAGACCCTTAGGTACATGATTATTCAGTGCGTAATATGTATATTAACTATACAGGATAAAATGTGCAGATGCATAGTTACATTATTATATATACAGAACATGAATTCATATACATATTATACGCTTATATTTGGTACATAATATTCATTGGTGGCATAAACATTTGGTACTTACTTCATATATTTACAAAAACTCTAGATCCATAAAATAATGTTATAATTAGTAATAGTGCTTATTAATTTCATAATAGGACATTAGGTTGATATTTTGCCTTACTGTATCACGTTACGTAGAAATACATTCGGGTGCATGGGTACAGCTTCTTATTTACAATGCTACACTGTACTACATTTTTACAATACTTTTATCATTCGATTTCATAATCAATAGGTACCTGCTCAAAAAAAAAAAAAAAAAAAAAAAAAAAATGGGACGCGTATTCCCGTTCTATGGGTCCGATTGACAAAATTCAAATGCGTTCGTCATGTCTCGAAAGCGCGATTAGGATATATTAGATTTATATAGCATTGTTCTAACATAAGCATTTTGATACAAAATCGGACTTTTCTGAAAAACCATACCAATGTTTTTCCATATTTCGATTCTACGACTCAAATTATGCTTAAATTTTAAATTTTGTAAAAATTGGAGCGAATTTACGGAGAAAATTCAAATTTATGTGGCAAATTGTTCAGTTTGCGCCAAGAATAGTCACTTGGCGAATGTCTTAATATATGAAACCTGTTTCCTCCCATGGCGGAAAAAAAGTCACCATCATTCTTTTTCCAAATATACTCTTTATATATTTTTATTATAACTGTTATCTTTTAAGAAATTTTTCTTTTCGAATTCATTTATTGTTAGTGCATTTTTTTCGAATAACGTTTAAAAATTTATTACCTATTCAAATGCGTCATAACGGTTGAGAGTGTATTTTTTTCAAATAGTTTCTTTATATAGTAGTTGTATAGATTATTTTAGAAATTTAAATTTATACTTTTTTAATTGTTTGGGTGCATTGTTCTTCAGATAATTGTTTTAAATTTTCATTTATTCCTTCGAATGAGCTTTTAAATATATTTAATATAAATTTCAGCATGTGATTTATTTTTGAATGCGTTCTTTCGAAGAATAGTTTGTAACTAGACTATGATGCAATTGAAATGCTATATTAAAGAGAAATTACAGTAAAGACAGTTAACACGCCTTCAATGTCCGTCGAAAAGAAATATACAAATAAGAGAGAGGATAAGGAATTTTAACATAGAGGACTGCATACTGCTTTAAAAGTTTAATCATGTGCCAGCTTTACATAGATTTATCCACATGGTTTTTAAAAGGTATTCATATTTGTAAAATATTTTATTTTTGAAATCGCAAATCAATATCATAAGATTAAAAAGTTTAAATTAAAAAAAAAGTGAAATATTAAATTTACGCAAAAATTATTTTTTCTTTCTTTTTCTTCAGGCATCTACTATTCTTGCTCTTTTTTTTAACATTTTGCAAAGATATTCAAAGTATCCAACTTTCTAATACTCTTGGTATTTGAAATATTTTAAATAAAGTTATCGCTTCCATTTCATAAAGGCCCACAAACGCCGGCGGAGAGAATCGTTGAACACTGGTAGCACTCGGGGTGAATCGGTAAAGGGCCATGGGCGTTTTCGTGGATTTTCAGGTACCGCGTATGCTAGCTGGTTTCTTAGAAAGTCATCACGAAGTATTGGTCAGAGCCTCTCAGTTTTAGAGGCTAAAATTTGAAGTTGAGATGAAAGAAGTCTGTTTTCAAGAGGTTGTGGTTTATTATTATGCCAAGGGAAGGGGACTGGGGAGACTTTCTAAGGGAACTGGCTCGCATAACGTTAAATATGAGGAAAACACGAAAACGCCATGAGACGGCCCGTTCGCACGGATTCGAACTGGACCGAATACAGTGTTCAGCGATTTACGCTCGCGCTTGTTTCATCAGGAGAAAACAAAACGTCGGTAGGTGCTCACATAATCATGGATAAACTCCTGATCTTTAATAATTCTACTGAGAAATCTGGGATTTCATATGTACGATATGTTCTATAACGTCATTTAAATTATACAACCAATGTCTACAACCGCGCTCTTCACTTTATCTGTAATGATATCGTTTTTCTTTTATGTTAACGAAGATCAATGATGGTATTGCTGGTGGTGGTGTACAGTCCAAGGTTTCTCTTTGAAACCTCTAAATTTTGAATGTATTTCTTTTCAAATTTACAGGCAAATTTTTGCTTATTTTTCCCTAATTTTCTCTTTCCTTTACAGTATTTCAGTGCTCACCAAAAAATTAAGATTTTCGATTCTAAACTCATAATTTTGCATTTTGTCATTTTTTTTAAAAGATCATTGCTCAACTGCGTTCAGCTGAAGAAGCTTTTTGTTTTATAAACATTTAACATAAAACAAAATATAGATCAAAGCCAAAGCATAAATTTTAAGTAAAGAGTTTTTGTCATGCAAAGAAAATAAAACAGTCCAGCAGGGTTATTCTGTACCACGAGAACCGATTTTGTATCGCTGAAAAAATCGAAATCTATAAAGATCATGTTTTTATACAATCTAGAACGCAGAGAAAAGAGCTCTAACATCTTTTAAGGGATTAATATAAAAATTATATTAAATATATATATTTTAAAGATGGGTTGAACCAAAAATGTCAGATTTTAAAAGTATTACATGGTGGTTATACTTAAAGTTCCAATTGAATGGTCATAAAAGAAAATAGGACCAAATTATAAATTGGGAATCGGTAAAGGAGTTTGAGAATTATTTCGCGGGGAAAAAAAAAAAGTTCAAAAACCACACAGGGAAATGGCGCTGTGCAATATGTTAAATAAAATAAGACATGAAAACATCTGTTTTAAATGTGTTATAGTTTCGAACGGTTACAAGCATGTTCCAATGTAGCTCCAGCATTTTACGAGAGCAAGTTAAATCCGTTACTGCATTCTAACAGCAGTTCTTAGCATATCACGAGGAATGTTACAGACATGTCGGTGTATCACATTTTTCATTTTCTGCCTAATTGTTTAGATTATCACCATAAACAGTGCTTCTGAGATAATCCCATAGCTAAAAGTCACAGAGGTTGAGGTCTGTTGGGAAGAAGGGAAGTGTCAACCTATAAGACGTTCATTCGTGAAATGTTGCCTAAGTAATTGTGGGACACATGTGAGGTGGGGCCCAGCCCTGCATAAGAAATCGTAGCATCTAAAATGCCACAATACTGCAGTTCATGTATCACGAAACCTTTTAACATTGACTCTAAGTGAGCTGCAATCACAGTGGTCCAGCTGTGGCCTGCTCTTCAGAAAAAAAAATGTTCAGTTATAAACTAGCTGTCATTCAACACTAAACGGTGTGGAATGACTGCTATGCAATCGAATGCAGTAGGAGAATGCAATGGAACTAGATAGATAACATGAGGGATTTCTTTGGCCCAAATCGATTTTTTTTAATTAAAAGCGTTTTGAATCAGTATCTTCATGTTTTAGTGCCGAATTCAGGCTTAAAAATTACAAATTAGCGATCTGTAAAGAAAACGATTTCCAGATTGTACGCACTTGTGCGATTGATTTGCGATCTCAACATTTTCTAATCGCTAATTCGTGGTTTTCACGGACGAATTGTCCCTTACACGGATGGTGCACTCGACTTTATTTTAATCGAATTCAACGCTTTTTTAAATGGTAATTTGCCTACTTCAAAGTTTCTTAAGGGTATGCAACATTTAAACCCGTGTAACAAAAGGTTAGTTAGATTCCCGACCCATATTTCGTTTAACAATATTGCATACCAGCGCCATTTTCCCCCTGGTTGGTGAGGTTTCCAACTTCCTTTTTTTGGAAAAGAAAAATAATTCCCATGATCTTCCTTTACACGATACCAAGTTTGATACATTTGATCCAGTAGTTTTCCTTTTATGACCGTTTCAGTGTGGAACTTTAATATAACCACTTATATTATTAAATTTTAATTTGAAAGCTAGCGTTAATGTATACCAAGCGACATTTTTCGCTTTTATGAAAAATAACGAATCAAGCAAATATACTTAGGATAATGGACCAAAACTGA